TCAAGTCAACGAAAAAGAAAACAAAAACCTGGCCGATGGTTTAGCTTGGGGTTATTACTTTGGATACCTGAAGTTTGTTTTGCCTGCATTGGAGAACCAAATCAACCTAACTGAGAAATACCGCTATGAAATCAAAAACTGTTTGATTTCAAACGAAATTTCAAACAAGCAGTCAGATCCAAAAGGACTGGTCAGAAGTGATGGGAATCTTGAGCCTCTAAAGAAAAAACACGGAGGCATCGAAAACCGCACGTACAAGCACACAGTACATAGGTAAGATATAAAGTACACACAGTACATAGGTAAGATCCAAATTTCTTGATATTGTCATTAAATATCGAGTACATGCATGGTTGCTTTTGACTTTCGCTTTTATAATGGATGAGCAAATTACTTATTTTAAGGTTCTTACTACATCGCCTAAGGCTCAGACTGGTAGGCCTGAAATCAGGAGCCCATTGCTCCTGCCTGAAATGAAATTATTATGCATCACAGTACAGAGTGCATGCTCTTGCTGTTGTGTGACGCCAGACGAATGCGACTAAAACACAAAAAAGTATTGTTGTATACTTCCGGGTTCAGGCATCGTGCTATCGTTGCGCTACTCTGGTCCCAGAGGCTTCTTTTGCTTACTATCCTTGCCTTAAAGCGTTGATTCACACGGTCGAAATAATAGGATAATGTCCGATAACACTCAATTGCAACATCTATTTTTAATATGTTTGCGCAGACCAAGCTCGTTTTGTATTCAGGAATATATACACCCACTTACGAAATTGGTGTCATAGAAAATAGGACATTTGTATTTAGTAACAATTAGGAATGAATGAAAAAAGACAAAAGAAGATCTCTGAAGCTAAACAATATCTTTTGTCTTAAGATCAAATAAATGGTTGTAGGTCGGTCTATTCACGATGTAAGCGCTACTTCAACCTAAAAGTTATTTATTTTCGTTGAGCTTACGACAGATCCCCTCCAGACCTAAAGATCCGGTGGAGTTTGAGAAACAATCTGGGGTTGTTTATAGGATTCCCTGTGGTGAGTGTAGTACTCAGTACATTGGYGAGACAGGAAGGGCATTAAGGACACGTAGAAAGGAACATGAAGCGGCTGTCAGACTGGGAAAAACAAGCTCGTCGGCTTTAGCGGAACATGCAAGCAAAACAGGGCATCCGATTGACTGGAAGGAAACATCCATCTTGTGTAAAGAAAGCCGTTGGTCGCAGAGGAGATGGAGTGAGGCAATAGAGATTGCAAAGCAGAAGAGCGTTCTGTTTCGTAGTTACTAAAACGAGGAACGACCTAAAACCACCTACAACGACCAACAAAAATCCACTATGATCGACAATGATCAACAAAAATGTACAATAACCAACGATTAAGCGTTATAACTGACATACAGCGTTATATTGACGTGCAGTAAACGCTGTTTGATTATTTGATTAACTTACCTAAAATAATACAGTAACTCCTCTAAAGTAAAAAAGACGTCTTCTCGAGTCGAAAAACATGGCAAATTACGCTTTCCTGTGCCAAGATCAGACACAGGAAGCCCAAGGTGTACGGGAATTTTTGCGTCTTCATTTATTTTTTCCTAGATCTTGAATATCATCACTTCAACAAAATTCATACAGAATTTAGTAAACATTTTACTTTTTTTAACCCTAAAATTATTCCTTTATACATTTTATATTCACTATATACTGCTATTTCCAAAAGCTTTGACCACTTTACTCACTTACCAACGCCAAAAGCGCGCCAAAATCTCGGTTGTTTCAGATTCACTGCTCTCTATTGTTTGCTAGTGTTTCGATGTTTATAGTGAACTATTAGAAAATGCGATTAAGGCTTACCCAAAATGGAAAAAGGAAAGACAATCTAATCAAATAGACAACACACGCCGACAAGCAAAAATATACCTTGGGCTTCCTGTGTCTGAACTTGTGGCACAGGAAAGTCTTGGTTTTGAAAAAAAATTGTCATTACATACGAGAATACTTCTTTTTTATACTTTAGAGGAGTTACTGTATTATTTTAGGTAAGTCAAGCTTTAATTCAATAAATGCAAACATTGATTTGCGCATCCTAACTCAATGTCTATGTTCAGCTTTGAATACCTTTGAGTGCTCTTCAAGTGCTTGAAGACTTTTTCTATTTTTTCCTGCTTTGGGACTTTGAATGGACTTGCATGATCTTAATGCCAGTCCACAGAAAGCACATGAATCAATCTTACTCTCTATTTTTAATTAATGCTAAAATTGTTAAAACTATTTCAGAAATAACATAGTTTGTGAAAAAGTTTAAAAAAGTTCATATGTAAGAACTTGGAAATTTATTTAAAACTAGGGATTGTATGTTAGATTTGCAGAGTGTAATGTCCATCACGTTTCATGTAATGTCCATCACGACAGACTTTCCCTTTTTGTAGTTTTTGTTAATTCAGAAATAACATAGTTTTCGTCTTTGAATTGTGAAAGTGGTTAAAAGTTCTTATGTAAGAACTTGGAAAACTATAATCCTAAAAACTAGGGATTGTATATCAGATTTGCAGAGTGTAATGTCCATCACGTTTCATGTAATGTCCATCACGTTAGACTTTCCTTATTGTAATAAAATCACACAAACCTGTGAAAAATCTATTTTGCAGCAACAAAAGATTCATCTTTTCYTTAATACTAGAGATAATCTAATTGTCAGAGATGTCTCTTAATTCACAGGAAAAAGCTGTGAAGTATACATGTCTCAATATGGTGGTAGTTTTGGATGTAATGTCCAATGTCACGGTCGTTTTTGCAAAAGAAAAAAAAAATACAAAATAGAGTAATAAGAGCTGACAAAGATTTTTAATTAAGTTCTATAATACAGTCCTCAAAATCAGTTTTATATAAAAGATTGAAGGATAATGAAATTTTTGCAAGACAAAAATATGRCCCATGAGATGTCATATTTTGTCGCTACGAGAAGTGCTGTTTGTGTAATATGAAAATTAAAATCTTGKTAATAGCAAAACTTAGATTCTGTAAAATTCTCCTAGCTGCTTGTCGATCACAGTTTCATGCAAGAGAGAAACCAAACACAATCCGGCGGATTAATATTAATATTAAATCTGCCTGAAATAACCTCCATATGTTCCGGTTTTGATATTATGCAATCATCAACCGAGAAATGTGYGTCATTTCTCACAAATTGCCAAAACGTGAAAGATCTTGGAATGCTAGCGCAAGTAAAGTGGAATTTCGATGCATTTCACTCTAGAACTGAAGACGTCATTGTCACCGTTGTTTTGGTACTCACTCCCCCCCCCCCTGCTATCTGCTATCTGCTATCTTTTAGGATGTCCTTTTAAGATAATTAATACGCGTAAAGATAACAACAACGTCAGTCAGCTCGCTCGTTTATCTRGTATCTTTTAGGGGTGAAAATATTATGTTGTCTTTTTTTAAGAGTCTGTTATTTTAAGGGTATTTTCGTAAACTTTCTGACAATTACCCCCACCCTAAATACGAGGAAGTACCCCCCAGATGTCCGATGCTGAGCAAAGAAGTCAAATTTAGGCTCGTGAAGCACATTTGGAGGCCTTCACGTGAGATCTCGCAAACTAAGAGCCATCGTTCCAGTAKGAGCGTTATTACCAAAAGCGAACATCAAAGGTTTACTAACTACACAGAAATTTTATTCACATTTGCCTAAAGATGTTACATTATAGCTGAAGGTCATTTTATTCAGTGCAGGCAACCTTTTGGCACTGAAACATTGTTATACTATATAGGTTTCTTTTCTATCCTTTTTCGGTTTTCAGGGAACAAAAATAGCTTTTCGGGTTATAGATGTAAAGATCTTGCTTGTTTTCACATATAGAAAGTATTTAGTCTAGTTAACGGGAAAGTTTTCTAAAATCTACTCAACAAAAATACATTAACGTTGACTTTTTTAACACCCTCCTCAGATCTTATCGAGTAGAGAACTAACCTTCAAAATGGTCACGTAATCAGTATCAGGATTTGCAACAGTAATCTTCCATTTTAACTTTATTTGGTAAGTCTTTTGCATTAATTTACAAATACTTTAATGCGGTTTTTTGCTTTCTTTCAACTGTTATTTAATGCGCCCTCACCTGCCTGCATTATACCTACGAATGCTGCGTGCCTAGTAATTATCTATTAAATAATGCAGCCCAATTACTGCTTGATAGAAGAAGAGAACGAGCTGCGGACGCTTGTAATTTATTTATCGACGCCCGTTCTTAGTGAAATGTGGATTACCTGTGGCATTACGTCACAATATTTTTTTAAATTTCACGYAATAGTTTTACCAAAATTATAGGGCTTCATCAGTCTGCCATTATTTTATTTGTTCATCCCAAGCGCGATTTTTGCCACTTTTCCGAGCGCGCGCCCAAAAAATAGCCACGTCTCTGAAAACGCTGTGACACCCCTGTATCAGGACATGCACGCTCCTAGTTAGTAATGGGCTCCTGAATTGGATTAAAAATCTTTTTGGGGGATATCGCGCATAAAATATAAAACCAGAAGAGTTCTTCTTTATAATAATCCCATCACGATCCAGCGTGCAGACAATCTATATTTTAGATTCAATTCAAGGTACATGGATTATTCGTGATATCTTATTACGCATAACAAGATATTGTACTAAGATTGGATATTTTACTATTTATTTTACTATTTACTGATGACTTACTATTTCTTCATAGCAATGCAATATTGTTTCTAAATGATGTATTATTTAGAAATATCAGTTCCCTGCATTATCGGCTTGATGATAGAAYTTAGTAATATACTGTATAGATGATTCCACTGTCTTATTTCCATCCATAGTCACACATTAGATGTAACAAACATTTATCGCATTATCTTCATTTATTAAACTGTACAATATCTCAATTTTCAGAATAAAGATATCAAAACCAGACGACACAACAAAAAAATCACCCAAACGATGTGCAGAAAGAGACGAATATTTTACCAGCAGATAGCATCGAATATGCAGTCAATAAAGTCACAGACATGAGTTTAGGCATAGATACTGCTCAAGACAATGGAGACAAGCGAAATGAAATATGTGCATGTTTGCAGCTTTCCAGTGTAAATTACTTACTACATAAACATACTGAAGATACTGTTTATGGCAAGAGATGCCTCKAAATAGCTAAGGAAACTCGTGATATCAGAGTAGAATCACAGGCTAACACGATACTCATAAATGCCTATCAAGGTCTACAGCAATATAAGGATGTCATTAGGTATGGCAAGAGAGGTCTACAAATAGCCAGGCAAACTGGGAACACACAAACTGAAATGCAGATATGCGCTATACTTGGCAATGCCTATCAATTGCTAGGCCTAAATAATGATGTCTTTGCGTATGGAAAAAGATGTCTAGAGATAGCTGAGGAAACCGGGGACAAACGCAATGAAATTATTGCCTTGGTCGAACTTGCTAATGCACATAATTCATTGAAACAATATGACAATGCTATTGTGTATTGTGAGAGGATTCAAGGGATAGCAAAGGAAACTCGTTATAAGAGCAGTCAGAACAGTGATAATAATGTCGATAAAGTCYAACAAATGATATCCTACAGATCAAAAGTAGCTATATCCATATTTACGGGAGATCCATCTGCAGCTGTTAGTAATGGTCTAAAATATTTTGAGTTAGCTGAGAAACTTAGTGACAGAGATAGTCAATGGGAAGCATGTTTCGGACTATCACTTGCATACTTATCATTAAACCAACACGATAGAGCTATTGTGTATGGCAAGAGATGTCTGGAAATAGCCGAGGAAACTGGTGATAAGCTTMAAGAAATGTATACTTGTTCAGAGCTTTCCAAAGCGAATTACTTTTTACAGAATTATAATGATGCTATTGTATTTGGTAAGAGATTCCTTGAGATAGCTAAGGAAATAGGTGACATTGAGATGGAATTTACGGCTTGTGCTATCATAGTTAGTGCTTGCCAAAATCTCAATCAGTATGAGAATATTATTTTGTATGGCAAGAGATTTCTACAGATAGCTAAAACAACCAGTAAGAAAAAGTGTGAAATGTCAATCTGTTATACACTTGCCAAAGCTTATCGATCACTGGAGCAATATAGTGCTGTTATTCAGTATGGCAAGAAATGCCTGGAGTTAGCAGAGAAAGCCGGTGATAAAGAGAGAGAGACTACTGCCTTGWTCGTACTTGCAACAGCATATAACTCACTAGAACAATTTGATGATGCTATTGAATATAGCAAGAGATGTGTAGAGATAGCACATCAAATTCATCGTACTAAGGATAAAATGGGTGGCCTTCTGTTACTTGCCTATGCATATCGTTGCAACAAGCAATTTAGTGATGCTATTGCGCAAGGCAAGAAATGTCTAAAAATGGCTGAGCAAACAAATGACAAAGGTCATCAAATGCAGGCTTTATTAGGACTGGTACAAACACACTTTTCACTAAACCAATACGATGRTGCTATTAAGTACAGCAAGATATATGTAGAGATAGCAGAGCAAAATAATCAAACAAACAATGAAATGGRTGGTCTTCTATTACTTGCCAATGCATGCCTTCACAACAATCAATACGATGATGCCAGGGGCGGATTTAGACTAGTTCAACTAGTTTCCGGAAACTAGTGAGATTTTTCAAAAAAAAGATGTAGTTGAAAGCGATACTAATAAAATCATATAAACGAAAAGAATATGGAGTATTCACTGGAGTATTTTACCGGTAGATGGCAATACGATCGCTTTGGCCGCCATTTTGAAAGTTGTACCACAGGAAACCCACTTACTACTTGGAATATAAACTTCTTTGTTCTTGTGGGAGGGGACCCATCGAAATGTTTGAAACAAGACTGTCGATCACGAGGCCAGAGTCCCCCAATGGCTCTTAGACAGCGGACTATCGCTTGAGAGTGCACTAGTGCAAAATGACGTAGCACTGATTCACATAGGAATCCCGACTGGTTTCCAGATAAATTCTTGTTCACACAGGAAACCCGAAAGCTATTTTCAGCCAATCAAGATCGAGCTTTGAGTTTCTGTGTAGCATCATAACAACAGTAGATCAATTTTGATTGGCTAAAAAGCCAGAAACCAGTCCAGAAACCAGTGACAAAAGTATAAATAGACTAGGGTACCCTAGTGAGGTCCTCTCAGTGTTCCSTTWGACTCTCTGGAATCGATTCGAACACTGTTACAGATTTCTAAAACAACACTAACTACACTAACTGAGCAAATGAAAAAAAGATTGAGGCCAGAAATACTACCAGCACTGTTTAGATCTGTTGCTCTTGTGTTGGAATGTGGATAAACCTCTCGTGAAACTGTTCAAAGGAAATTAATTCCTGTGGTATACATTGAATTCGCCAAACAGATTCGGATTCATGCATDTGAACATTCTTCGTGCTTGGTATGTATTGAAAATAATTTCTGTTGATTTAAAAAGAATGAAAACGCTTGAACCGAATAAGTTACATATTAATCACAGTTAATTGGTAATTTAAATTCGAAATGCAATTTTCTGGAATTCGGTTGCTAGCGTCATCTACCGCGGCGCATTGCCGTCCCTTGTGTATGTTAACAAGTTGGCTGAATCGGCTTAACTAGTTCATTAGTTTATTAGAATCATTTTGAAGACAAAAAAAAACAACATTTAACATTTATTCAAACATTTGTTTTTTTTTTCAGGCCGATGTTATAAATATTCATGTTTTAATTAATTATCATATGTCAATACAACATTTTTTTAGTTGGAAACTAGTCTGTAAAAATGCTAGTTCCGCCCCTGGATGCTATTGTGTATGGCAAGAAATGTCTAGAAATAGCCGAGGAAATTGGTGATAAGCTTAAAGAAATGCATACTTGTTCAGAGCTTTCCAAAGCGAATTACTTTTTACAGAATTATAATGATGCTATTGTATTTGGTAAGAGATTCCTTGAGATAGCTAAGGAAATAGGTGACATTGAGATGGAATTTACGGCTTGTGCTATCATAGTTAGTGCTTGCCAAAATCTCAATCAGTATGAGAATATTATTTTGTATGGCAAGAGATTTCTACAGATAGCTAAAACAACCAGTAAGAAAAAGTGTGAAATGTCAATCTGTTATACACTTGCCAAAGCTTATCGATCACTGGAGCAATATAGTGCTGTTATTCAGTATGGCAAGAAATGCCTGGAGTTAGCAGAGAAAGCCGGTGATAAAGAGAGAGAGACTACTGCCTTGTTCGTACTTGCAACAGCATATAACTCACTAGAACAATTTGATGATGCTATTGAATATAGCAAGAGATGTGTAGAGATAGCACATCAAATTCATCGTACTAAGGATAAAATGGGTGGCCTTCTGTTACTTGCCTATGCATATCGTTGCAACAAGCAATTTAGTGATGCTATTGCGCAAGGCAAGAAATGTCTAAAAATGGCTGAGCAAACAAATGACAAAGGTCA